ATCTTTGCACAAGGTTCTATTCCCGTAGCATGTTTCATTTCGAAAATACAGCAATTTGAACTTCCGATTTTTCACAGTGCGTGACACCAAAATAGGAATGCTGTCTCGTTGAAAAAAGCTATCTCCTCTTGATTTTCTGCAGCATAACCATTTCAAGTATTAGAAGATATGTTTATGCACACGTACGTCGGATCTCGAGTGAAAAGAAAGAGCTTTTATAGAAAAAGTGAACTCCAGATGTTTTTGTTGATTTCCGGCGGCCATATTGGTGCACCAAAACTGTATACCAATATGGCGTCTCCATACAAAGCTCTACAAAGGTGCGTGAAACGTTTCGGCAAATAACTCAGAAACTGTGGGCCACAAAGACCTGAGACTTGGACAAATTGTTTAAAAATTAGTCTTTCAGAACATTTCATTTTCTTGGCTTCTTCCACCGGACGAACCAACTTATTTTCTTGTTGCATGACAGTGAAAACGATCTATATAAAAAATTGTTACTTACAGCCTCTCTAATGACTAGAACGGTTTTTGTGTTTACTTAGTTATACATACATCTTTCATGGAAGTATTCGCCGCATCCCCAATGTGTACTCCCAAGAAAATAACATCATTCCCTGACAGTTTCAGGGACTATCTATCTTGAGTTTTTTAAAGTTTCTTCCTTTGAAAAAACCTTTTAAATCAAATTCGGCCATAATGTAACAAAAAGGACCGTCAAGGACAAAGCCCACACGGAATGTCACAGCTCTGTACGACAAAAATCCATGCGTGAGAGGCTACAAGTCACTTTCCTTTTAGAATAGGACCTAAGAGTTTGTGCTACCCTTTGAAGAAGGCTAAAATCATAATTACAAGAAAAATAGGACATTGCAACTATATATAGCTATATTCTAATTTTGGGAAAATTCGAGGACTTTTCAAGGAATTATTGAATTCAAGGACATTACAAGGCCTTCCTCTTAATTCAGAAACTCTGGCTTTTCAAGACTGCGAACCCTGTTCCCACTCCCACAGATCCATCAATACCGATAACTATTTTTTATATTGTTGACCCAGAGATCCACGGGGCACCTGTTTAACCCTGGCCAATAAAACACAGAGCTAATATCTCCTTAAAATCTCCCCTCTGATCACACGTGACATATCTGCGGGAACGCTACGACGGATGTAACCGCGCTGTTTCGCGTACTGAAGAAAGTCTAATTTGTGAGCACTGTAGACCTGAATTGATTCAAAAAAGCTTTTTAAGGATTGTACAGCATTTTAGTAATTTATAATCCTCAAGAAAGAGAAAACTGTGAAGCGCACGTTATCAATACGTTACTATACAATTATAGACTATTTTGAAGTCGAAACGACCTGTCCTGCAGTATTGTATTTCCTTTTGGCGTCCACTAAATGTTTTGATTATTTGAATTTATTCATGTATTTTAGCTCTTTTACTTGGAGCGTCCCTCTAAACAATTATTTTCATGTTTATCGGTCGCCTTTTTTGAGCATCTCATGTTAAAATAGGAGGACACCCTAAAAATAGTTTTCTAAACCGAATATCTCAACCCGAGTGCTTTGTTAGCTTTTTTTCCGGCAAATTACGTTTAAGCCCGCCCTCAACTTCCTTGTAAAAGCTAAGCCTAAGACAACAAAATTAAATCAACGTAAAATGTTGGTCACATATGAACAACAGCTAACGACGGCATAGTTACATAACCTTTAAGAACTGAAGACAATTATAAACTCAGTATAGGTTTCGGTTATTATCTTTCTGTGTTTGTAGATCGCTTTGCTATTTGGGGGCTGCTTGAAGTTAAAGTTACGGTAATTTATCTATTTATCGACACGTAAATATCCTAAGATTATCGGACGCTAAAACAAATGTTCGGACGAAAATTAATGCCGTGTGCCTGGCGGAGAGAACTACAGGACCAAAAAACACCGTCTCCGAAGATGTTTGTTGAGAAAGATGATTTTTTAACTTATGCAACTTGTAAGAGTGATTCCTGATGATAAGCTTATGAAGCTAGTTTATTTTTGTTTTCGCGAGAACGCATGCGTATGACGATCTACAAACGCAAAGGCTCGCGTGGCTTTGCTGTATTTGCATTAATCACCACTGAGGCCACCTCTCTCCAGTTCCCCTACATGAATTAGAAGAAGTACCAGAAAGAGAAGAGTGCAACAGCAGATACAACAGGCATTCAACGATCAAGGTTACTTTTAAATAAAGAGATGGATATTCACTGTTTTGATTGCCCCTCGTATTACAGATTTCTAGATTTTACCTATCTTTATACAAAGGCATTAATAAGAAGCATGTTTTCAGGTTGTTGAATTCGATAGTTTGCGTGTGTTTTTTTTGTTGTTGTTTGTTTATTCTGCTCATTAGCAAAGATTTAAAAAGAATATAACGTTCTTACCAATAGTTACTTAATGCACAAAACGCAGTGCGGGTGTTATATTATTTTCTAAAGCGAAAATAGTGTGGTAAAAGAGAATAAGTGAATAGGTGAATACAGGAAGGTTTCATGATGTCAGATTCAGAAAAAAACCTGCAAATGACTAACATTGTCAAAGAAGAGGAAATAACCGTAAAAAAACTGAATTCGTTGGCGTAAACAAGGCAGCTGGTTCGGCGTAACTCATGCTAGTGTAGATATCGTTGGCAGGTGATCTGTAACACATACTGCAGTAGATATCTTTCTTAGAGAAAAAAACCGATCTCACAACATTTCACGATCGCTACTACACCTTTGAAGGCCAAGGGGTCTTTGTTTATTGACAGTCCAACTTTCTTTTTGTCTTAACTAACACAAAGAAGAATCCTCGAATAATACCCGCAAGAGTATTTTTACGGCACAAACAATGACATGACACACTCCGTCAAACTGGTAAATAAATGTGATCGCTGGTGTTAACATTAAAAAATGTAAAGTAGATCTTTAACTTCCTCATTGAACAGTTAAATGCTGACTTCACTTTTCTTTCCCGATGTTATCGCGTGGTTAATTACATAATTCATTAAAACAAAACTACACTATATTTGTTCGATTTTAAAAGTGCACAGAAAATAAGTACCTTTTTAAATTGCACCTAGTTAAAAAATTGTTTTAGGAACGTCCAAATATCTAATAATGAAAAAAAGAGAAGCGTCGGTAGGAGGTTTAATTGCATAGAGAAGATAATTTTCATGTCAGAATGACTCGCCAGTTTCACACCATAATTACTACATAGTCAGACCTCTAAAACTGTAGAAAGCCGCGAATATTCTATAGCTGAATAACGTAATCGATCAACCTATATTAACGGTAAAAGAGAGTTTTCTTAAAGCCATTTTTAAAAATGCTGCTTGTTTGAAAATTGCCTTGGAACATCAAGACTATTTCTTTGCAATTTAACTCGGCGATTGGTCAGCGGGAATGAAAGTATTTTGAACTTAAAGTGTAGACAAACGAACTAAAACCCAGCAGACTTGTTTGACGAGTGGGCCCTGTGCCACCTGAGGATACAGTTATAATATTGGTCCTCGATCCTTAAAACAAACACCTCTTTTATATCCTGGATTCTTTCTTTCTTATAAGAAACTGTTCGTACTTAAAGCGGTGTTTATGCTTCATATCTCAAAGTCACGTGAATTAAACCTAAAAACTAAAGTCCGGGGCGGAGTTTTTGTGTTAAATTCGAACGCAAAATTGGGTCGAAACCCAAACATTCTCTTGTCTCAATGAGCGCGAAACAGGCGCAAAACAAAACCGATAATTAATCGCTCTATTGATGTCTAAGCAGGGCGAATTTCCCCATTCTTCTTCATAAAGGTCGCGGATTGTTTTGTTTTGGACTGAAGAATGACTATTGTCAATAACAGAGCCGCACAACAAAAAGAGAAAATGAGTGTTACAGTGTGTTCCCGGACATCTACGAAAAGCAATATCTTTATAGCATTTGGCGAGGTAAACGAGGACAGCTTGATAAAATTCTAGTGCAGTAGGAGAGGGGCGACCTTGATCCTAATATCTTGGCTAGAATCGTTGCTGTGTGTGACAGGTGTATCTTATTTATGCGTGGCGCATGCGCGGTCCGCTTCGTTATGCAGGATAACGCAGTAAGTATGAATTATTGAGGGCACGTGTGTTTCTCCTCGGCAGATGGCGCCGACAATTAGAAAACTCATACAGAGCGAAATTGATCTCACAAGAAGGGTCTGTAAACGAAAAATTTCTCTTCAACAATGATTCTTTTTTTTTTCCTTCAAAAAAACTAAGAATTAAACACTGCGACAAAGCGACGTAAAATGTGCTGTATATTCAACTCAAAATCTACATGTGATAAAAGAGAACTCTCATGACTGTTATCTTCAATTAAAAATGAGGTAAATTAGACGCGCGTCGGCGTAAAATAGTTTTTGGCGACTATAATTTGCATTGACGCGAAGACTAATTTTCACATCAAGTTCTAAGAAAGTGGTTTTTGTGCGGTATTTTTTTATTCTGGTACAAGCAATTTTTATTTGTCCTGTCAGGCATTAATTAATAACGAACATAAAAGAAATCATTATCGAAGAAAAATCGCTTTGCGAAATTGATTCTGGGAGAATAAACGTCCACCTCCAAATGTTAGTATTTTACTTCACAGGGGTGTTAAAACAAGGTGCCAATTTCCCGCTGCAAATTCAATTCCTTGATTCTTGCCACGGCTGATAATCAAGGAAATGACATTCAACACTGTGTGTCCTAAACACAACAACACAATCGGTCTTTGGCGCGCGGAACTGTTCGAGTGTCGTATCCTCGATGCCATTGGTCATTGTCTCACGGTAACAGCCAATAGAAAACAAGTAATTCTTTTGACATAGCGCGCGACACGGCGCTTGAGTGAATTAGCACAACAAACATACGTCGCGAGCCTGGCATAAGGTCAGAAAATCCTCGAGTATAAATTGAAGAGAGCACGGTGCTAGCTCGATTCAACACCGTATTGTGTTGGGCGAGAGGTCGGAGTAAACAATGTCTGTGAAGGAAATAACTAAAAGCTCAGCGTTCACTATCCCTACAACGACTATATGCTATCCGCACCAAAGAACAGAGGAAGCAGGCTCAGATGTTTTGCGGCCTCCAGCTAAATTGTCACTGTTGTCGCCTGTCTTGGGGCAAACTCGACGACGAAGAGCAGCTACGAGCGCCAAGCAAAAGGAACCGGCCGTGGTAGCAAGACGGAACGCCAGGGAACGAAAACGCGTAAAACTAGTAAATGATGGTTTCATGCGGCTGAGAAAGCACGTACCCACGGACCCTAAAAACAAGAAATTGTCCAAAGTTAAAACTCTGCGTAGCGCAATCGACTACATACGGCACCTGCAACACGTTCTGGCAATGGCCAATAAACATCAAATCGAAACAGAACAGGAGGCAGCTGGTACGGCTCAAAACCAGAGTTGGATGACCGCGGCTGACTTTGTAAGTACGCTTTAACTGAGACCAGTCAGTGATCAGTCCGGCGAACGTCCCTCCGCTCCTGCGCTTCAACTCCACTTAATCTGACATCGCGTCGCTCGCTCGCGTTCATCTAAAACTAACAATCGCGTCGCCGACGATCTGTTTTGTTTTATTTTTTTTAAAAAGATACAACAGGCGCTTTCGCGCATTTCTTTTTAACTATGGCCTGCTTTTTACAACAATCTATATTTTGATGATTGTATGGGCTTCGCTTGACATGACCAAACGAAGCCGTTGTCAAGCACGATTTACCTCAATTCAGAATCGTTAGAATAATTTGGCATCGCCCTGAATCACCAAGCACTTGATTCCCCTTCAGTTCAATTCACTTGTGAACCTCGAAGTCTGTTTGATACTTTTAGAACGAAAAGCCTTTGCATTGATAGTTCAAATTTTCCGAGGAGATCCGGAGGGTCTTCAATTTTTTTTATTATTATTTCTTTCAGTCTTTGACAAGCGACATCTTTATAGTCAGGAAGTTCAAGCAGAGCTATATTTTTCTTCGAGCAGCAGATGGACAAATCATTGTTACGGCACTGCTCGAAATATTCAATATTTTCTCGCAAAACACATAGAATTATGCAACCTTAAAACTAAGAAACAAGTTATTGTGCGATTGGAAGAGTCTTTTTTCTAGGGTAACGCCCATAAAATACATGGAAATTTACTTTTCGATAAAATTAAGTCAGGTCATTTTGAGTGAATGCAAAGCGAGGTCTTTTGAATAATAATTTATTTCGTAAAAGCTCTAACCCCATCTTGTTTTCATTTGTCTTTTAGAAAGCCGAGGAGGAATACAAAACTGAATTTGGCAAAACAGTTTTCGCATGTGGACAACCAAGAGTGCCAACAAGCTTTTGATGGAAAGACGATGATACATAAGCGAAATATTTGTACTGAAAGACGTTCCACCCGACAATGATAAACAAGTGGCGAGCTCTCCTTGTCCTAGAATGTACTACAAGCCCTTCGGAACAAGCGGGCTGAAAGCAAATAAGCTCGCAAATAAACAGACAAGGAAAAAATTTACCGCAAGGCGGAAAGCTCTTACATATGCCATGCTTTCGCAACGGGAATTACCTGACAAGCATCGAAGAGAAATGTGGTTGCTAAATGAATGAAACATATACATCGGAAAGTAATCGAAAAAAATTTTAAATATAATTATTTATACGCAATCTTCAAGCCGAGTAATTTAACTTCCACAGACAAGTTGAGATGTCGAAATTTTCTCGCTAAGGTTCTTTATGGACAGAGAAGTAAATTATTTCCCTTTCAAAAAAAATGAATTTTGTAGAAAAAAAAGAGACGTTATATATAGGTGTAAAATAAATCAAATTGATCATATTCTCTTATACTATGCCTGTAAATTATTTTTCTTTCCAGAAAAATTTGCCTTCAACGGGAAAAGTATGTAGAGATATTAAAATCGTTGTTGGTTAGCAAAATCTGAATAAAAATAGCCATCAAGACTTGGAAAAGTTTAATCGAGGATACAATTTGGGTTTTCATGTTCAGTGAGAGTTCTCGTGTAATAGAATATTCTCCGCAGCCTGAAGAAACCTCCAGCCACAAAGGATTAATTATTTATAGAAAATGACTGAGACGCTTAATAGGAAAGCGTTCATTTACATTTCCAAGTAGTACTCGAATCTATGGAACGGAAAATTAAGTATTCATGCAAATCGAAAGGAAGGCAGCACACTTCACTTGAACGACGGAAGCCCTAATCAAGCTCTTTATCAGGATTGGATGTAAGCGCAAGCTTTACAAAGGCGCCAAAATAAAAGAGAAAAAAAGAGAGCGTAAAATTCATTTTTTTTTCTTCATCTGTTAAATAGCCACGTTTTCATCTCCGGGTACTGTTTTAAAATAATTTCCCGCAGCGCATTCGTCTTATGGCAAGGAATTTGCGCTGGTTTCGTGGGTTATCAATTTCCGAGTGTTCTGTTCGACATCGACACGTGCCTAGCACAATTATCACTCGTTCTAATTACGCTTCGCCAAACAATATCATTGGCTCGCTAACACAATTTTGTTGTGTACTTGCTTGTAAGTCTTTTGCCACTCATGCAAATAATCCATTTCACCAACGCCGCAAGTTTCAATAAGTGAACGGATGTAGCCCAGAGCATTATTTAGACAAGCATTTCAAAATATAAGATCGTATCTCTTAGTTAGTGAGTCCGAGCTTTATTATTATCTTTCTAACATGACCTTCTACGCATGCGTCAGTTTCACAATCTACAACCGAACTACGGTTTTTTTCTATCTTACGTCAACAAAAAACTGAGGTTACGTGGAGCAAAAAAGCGTTTTGGGACTGCGCTTCTGGCGCGTACGTTACCGCGCGACTGATTTTTGGGTTTCAGAAGTAAAAAAAACCTCTTGCTCTTCGGTTGGGAAAAAAAATAATTGTTTCGAAGGGTTGCATTGATGCTAATAACTGACGGCAGGTGTTATCTGTTTTTCTGAATGAGGAGAATCTCACACGCATTAGTAAAGTGAAAGGGGGAATACCTCTCTTCCGATTCATTTAAATTGATTCCATTCAGTCGTGGGGACGAATAAGCCTGGACTATTCAATCCGAGATTAAAGAGCGGTTTTTCGAAGATCGAACACTCAAAAAATAATAATATGTAATAACAAAAACAGAAATATTTAGCACGAAATATAAACTGCGCTATGAGCATGACACAATTTACCCGAATGAGACAGGAGAACTTAATTAGAAATGTCTGAAGAAAACAAATTTCAATAACCCAGGCTTTTAACATAAAACTGTGCTGATTTGAAATCTGACCAAATAAACATGGATTATAAGATAAGAAAAAGGTACATCGCTACTTTTTTAAAAAATAAGAGTGGTTGTCTTCTTTATTACAGGTTTAAAACCTCCGACACACCCCATAGCTAAGAAGAAACTTTTCTTTTTAAAAAAACTTGTTGACACTAAATTTCAATCTACGAAAATAAAACATACTTGAAAACCACAAAATTGAGGACGAAGAAACCGGACACGGAGACAGACGTAATATGGATGATGATCAACAACTACAGCAGTGATTCACTTGTTAAAAGGCGAACTTGTTCACTTCAAAATGTTTCATTCCACTTCGCTTCTTCTTCCCAACTGACAAAGAAAAGCCTCTCGCTGATTTTAATATGAGTGGGAATCTCCGGTTTTCGAGATAAGAACGCGTTCTTTGTTGCTTGGCTGGCTACGTGTGAACCAGAGGGAAGCTCCAAAGTGTGCCTCGTTTAATCTTGCGGAAAGATCTTACCGATTAACCAATGTTTGCGGTTTGCGTCATTGACAAAAGCAAAAGAGAGTTTGACTCGGCGAGAGGAGCCATTCCTTTGTAACTCCTCAATAATCGTTTCTCTCTCCGTAATTGTTCTTCTTTAGAATTGCAGTATTCTTAACTCCACAAGTAAGTGAGCAATATCTTAATAAGAAGGATTCACCTTTCCAATAAAAAATTAAAGCTCGACGCAAATGAATATATTTAAAGAAATATGAAATAAGTATGAGGAAAAACTGCAAGATTATAAGTTCATTTATTTCGATTTCTCTGTATCGACTGAAAGTTCAAGGAAAGCACCGCAGAGTAAAAGTTCACCAGAGTGCTTTTCCTTCGAGCTTTCAGATGAGCGAGTTAACTTTTCCCAACTCTGACTGTGCTGACTTTTTTAATTGTTAATTTTGCTTCAAGGCCGGTTGCAATTTATTCCTGGGCAGGGACTTGTGGTAGAAAAGGGTTATACTGGAAACGCAAGTCCTCCGATAAAATAAAAACAATATTAGACTGGGTGAATACGGCAAATAGAGGTCGTGTTGTAACGCATTTTCTAATGTTATTCTCCGCGATTCACGTCAGTTAAGTGACAGTTGATGAAACGTTTGAAAAGCCAACAAATCTGACTTCGCTTAGAAAGGCCGGTCATCAATGAGGCATGAAAATTGAAACATACCGCGTTTAAATAATTCTAAGATTCGCCAATTATTCATGAGGAAATGTTCAAAGGGGGAAATCAAGACAACGACAGTTAGAAAACAAAAGTTTCTTGGGATTAAGAGAAACGGAAGCCTCCGAGGAAAAACACATTAGGGATTTGCCGATTGACACGTGTCAATTAGAAGGCCGGCATTTTTAAATGAAAATTCAGAAAAAGTTACTTTGGAAATACTTGTCATAAAATCTAGTCAAGAAAATACAATTTGCACGAGTTTGTTGATGTAAATTATTAAGTTAGTCGTCAGCAGTCAGTTTTAAAAACCACTGACTAAAATATTGATTCTGCAAAACGACAATACTGGCTGCAAAGGCAATACTGACAAAAATGTGATAAGTCATGATTTCCTTGTTTCACTTCAAAAGAAAATCGACGCAAGAAAACGATGAAAATTCAAAAGTTCATCGGAAGTAACTTTCGTTCTGGGGCGATTAACTTTTTGCTAGTGTTGGCCGCGAATGAAAAAACGTCGGATCAAGTTTCGTGTTGTTCACAAAGTCTTGTTATTTTACCATATTATTTACCCCATTCAAATAGTGCTATGCCAAAACACTATTTATTTTGCAGTACAGCAAATAAAATTTATGCACCGCGTCAGTTATGATTCTTTTGACATTTGCTCTGGTGAGCTTCTCTTAAAAACTGGTTGTAGAAAAGTTCAGTAAAATTAAAGCTGAACCCGCTTGGTTCGGGAAGGAGTTAAGATTAATTTTTAAAACGTCCACGTAATGATCAAGTCTCTGCTTAAAATTTGTTCACATTGAGATTTTTGGAATTGTTTTTACATATGAAAGCAAAACGGTGAAACCTTCGGGTGATAATACAGCAAAAATTCCGGCTTTCAACGTAATGTACAAATTTCCTTTTCTATCCGAGATGTTTCCGCCCTTTTTCTAAAACGATTTTTACATAAATCTACACTTTCTCAAACATGTTTAGTTTATTACCGAAAAATGAAACTAAGAGACCAGCAAGAAGCTCGAAACAAAAAGTTTGTTAGCAATTCCTAGCACTTGTATTTAAACAGGACTTAATTTTCACCATTTGTAAAATTAAACACAAACTTCTTATTACAAAATATAGCCATATGTCGTTCTATTTGTTTTTCAGAGAGTCCTCTATTAAACAGATTTCATTTTGTTCAAAATCTCCAAAGTAAACTTTTCCTCATAACGAATTTGGTTTGATTTTCATTGTAATTTCGCGCACGTGTCATCGTCACTTGACACAATAACGCACTTTAGGTGAATAATTCACTTACCTACCGGTAAATAATTTTCTTATTTACTTTGTGGTATTTGGTCGATTTTGAATGTTTTATGCGTTTCTAGCGCTACGGAATAGCCTTTGCACTGAGAGAACGCTTTGTAGTGCGTTGAAAGAGCCGATGGCACCGCGTTTGACGCTATCAATCTGTTTATAGTTAGAGTGAATAAAAGAACACAATATGGGTCAAAAGAACAAAGCAGATCGAGAACGAAAACAAGAATTGGAGATGAATGATTAGATTAACGAATCAAGATAACATACGAGCAACATCAAAACTTTACAAAGAGAATTAATAAGAAAAACACCCATGATAATGCAGATTTCTATAACTGAGGCTTACTGAACAAAAGAGGAAAATGAGAGTGATGATGGTACTGAGAAAGGGAAAAGAACTAAAAAGAAATCCATGCGCTCGACTTGCACTCTTTTAACAGTTAACAGAGAAATAATTTTTTAAAGTTGCATAGTCAAAAATACCTTTTCCAAAAGGGGAAGACAATTAGTTAAGGCTCTTTTTTTTTTTCAAACTAGAAAACAAGCACCGTTTTAGGACCCTAAGATTTCTTTTTCACAG